CTGAGAATTCATCAGATATATTTAAATGGTAATGTTTTTCATAATCTACTAGTTATTAAGGAGCAAATTTTTATGCTTTGAAGAACTTTTTTTTTTTATAGACCCACTTCCCAGGTAGCACCCTCCCATAGCCCCCCTCCCCCCACTAGAGCCCTTATACTCTGATATCCCTGCTACTGTCTGCTGTGTTGTCGGCACCCCAGCCATTCCCCACTACTTGTCCTTCTGGTGAATCTAGTTAGCCTATCTAGAGGTCTTTGTTTTAGAGGGTCAACTGTTCCTCATCTAGCGGCATTCAGTTGTCAATATTCTTTTGGATAAGATTGGGATCTGCTGTTCAATTTCCCAGTTCTATGCTAGGTTACTATCTGGGAATCCCTTTGGCCACTCTGGCCAACAACTCAGAAGGAGGTATCACCTGTCTGGCATTGTTGCTTGCTATGTAGCCTTTAGCTATACATATGGTCTCTTATGAAATTATATTGGCCCCTTTAAGCTTTGGTTATAATTTCCTTTTGGGTGTTTAAGGCCACACAGTTGGTCCAGATAAACTGATTTATTTTCACTCTTAAGGTCATTTAAGGATCTGTTCCTCGGGGGTCACATGGGCTTGGGAGGAGCCCCTGGCTCCTTTGTTTTACCAGTTCCACCCCTTATGTGAACATAAGTCAAAGGTCCTGCTCAACCATGGTTGGCTTCACTTGGAAGCATGGAGGAAGTGATTCCTCTGTATTGACCCTCCTCTTTATAATAAAGACTGGTCACTGGTTCAAGTCCATCTGGTGGGGTCTCCTCGGCCTCCTTGATCAAGAGGAAAGGTGACTCACCACCATTATAGGACATTTTGAGAGATGCTCATAGTCCCCTGGAACTAGTCGACCTAGGAGGGCAAGGAGCAAAAAGTGTCCTTTATGTCCCTCTGACCAAATTATTATAGACCTCAAAGTATGTCTGCTAAACACCCAAGAAGGTTAGTTCCAGCAGTCTGGTATTTTTAATTACTGTGTGTCATGTAGATAAATCTTAGGCAAAGACCAGTTGTTCTCAGATAAACCTTACCTAGACATATATTTCTTGATCTGCTATGTATACTTTGTCAGTAGGTTGTAGGAGTAATATGGTTCTCATTGATTTTCAAAGCTAGCTAGGCATTGTTTATCTCTCACATTGTCTCGCCCCTCCATCGTGGTTTTCCCTCTTAAGGTACCCCGATTGCCCCCTTTCTCCTGTAATAATACCCTTCTCCTATGGTCCTACCTCTCGAGCTCCTTCTTTCCCTTTGAGCCCTAAGTTCCTTGTATACCCTTCCCTCCCCCCTCCTTTAAACAAACCCAATTTTTATCCATATCTCCCTTATTAAGGCCTGTTTCCTACTGTTCTCTTTCAGGTTATTTCTTTTCCTTTACCTCCCTGTTTCCTTTCCATTATCCTGGTTGCATACTTATCATACTTATTTATTTATACTTATTTCTGTAGTTATGTCTGGTTGCATACTTATTTATCAGAGTCTGGTTCTAGGATCCACATATGAGAGAGAACATATGTCAATTTTTTTCTGAGCCTGCGTTACTTCACTTAGTATAACAGTTTCTAGTTCCATCAATTTACCTGCAAATTTCGTGATTTCATCTTTCCTTACTGCGGAGTAAAACTCCATAATATAAATGAACCACATTTTCATTATCCACTCATCAATTGAGGGACACTTAGGCTACTGATTTTTTTTTACTTTAATACTGATTGTTTTTCTTTAATTTTGAAATATTTCACATATATACAATGAAATATGATCATGTATCTTCCCATTTCCCCTCAACTCTCCCTTATATCTCCCCCAACATACCTCCCCCTGAACTTCATGTTTTGCTTTTGATAGCTCATTAAGTCCAGTTAGTGCTGCTCATATGTGCATAGGTGTGGGGCTATGCACTGGAACATGGGAAACCTACCAATGGCCACATCCTCAAAAAGGTATGATTCTTCATCTCCACCCCTAGCAAACGATCACTGCTGTTAGCTCCGCAGTAAAAGGTAGGGCCTGAAGATCATCTACCCCACCTATGCAGGGTTTTGTCTGGATTGATCTTGTGCAGGTCTTATATAGGTAACCACAGCTGCTGTGAGTTCATGAGTGTTACAGCTATGCTATGTCCAGAAGACAGCATTTCACAGCATCCTCCCCATCCTCTGGCTCTTTGTTTCTTCTTCATCTTCTACAATGTTCCCTGAGTCTTGGTGTAGTGGTATTTTACATTATGAAGTAATTAATTAGGAGACACCACCAAAACAAAGCAAGTAAGAGAAAAATAGAGTCCATTTAAAACAAGGAAGGAAATCAAACACAATGTTAAAGGAATCGTCTGTAGCTGAAAGACGATAAAAATTGGTTTTCACAAGCATAAATGAGTATTAGATTTGGCTGCCTGTAACAGAAAACAAATATATAAAAATGACTGAAATGCCTAAGCATTTCCTCTCTGAAGAAATCTTGTGGGGTCAGCCTAAGGCCAGCATGGCATCTCTAGACAGTCATCACCAATTCTCTCTTCTTCACATCGTAGGTGCATGTTTTCCATTCTTAAGTTTGCCACATAGCTGCAGATAGCTGAAGTTCCAGCTGGGGTATTCTGAATGCCAACCAAGGCAGAATAAGAAACACAAATGACTTGATTTCCAGCTAAACCAACCATTTTAATGAAGCAGCCTTCTTGGAAGTTCTTTATAACTACGATAAGCACTACTTGCTAAAAAGTACAGCCTTTGTGGAAGGGCAGTAGGGGATCAGTCTGGGCATGGGAGGAGGGAGGTTCAGTTTGTTGAAGTAAGAGTTAAATAATTATTTGGATTTTTAAAATGTGATAGTGGCTTAGAACAAAAAATTAAATCAAAACATTAATTAAGGAAAGAAAACTCCATAAGTATTTTCAAATTAAGCAAAATACAACATTAGCATACAAACAAGTATTATTTTTGTTAATGATTGACCAATAAAGGAAATAAGTGTTAGGCTGCAAATTAAGATGCAATTTTTACTTAGACTTTGATTTTAAGAATAAGAAAAGCCCATAATGCTCTCTTCCTTGGGTTTAGATACTGTAGTAACAATCAGCTTGGATCTCTACAGCATGTTTGCAAGCAGTATTTCTCTTGCTAACTAAATTTTCATTACATACTCTATAAAATCCTTCTGGCCAACACTTATTCCTAGAGGCAATATACTAAAGCCCTGACAGTAACACTAATGTCTCTGTTATTCCAGGCAAGGCCCAGTTAAACCAGAAGTCCTGTCTATTCAATGGCCTGGAAAGCGATCAAGCCGCCGAGTCCAGAGACACAATAGCTTCTCACCCAACAGTCCTCAGTTTAATGTCAGCAGTCCAGGTAATGAAGATTTTGGCATTCTTCATCATAGTAGAAGTGAGTGATCTTTTCCAGTGGATAATTTAGCAAACAGCAGCTGAGACAAGGTCATAGAACACTTCCCTTCTACCAAATACATGTGAAACTGAGGAGAGGCTGAGTATTAAGTGAGGGGAGGTGATTCCAGTCCTGTCAGATCCTAGTAGCTGTGACTACAAAGCTCACAGACAGATGGTGGACACAAGAAATTTCTCCATCAGCTGATCCCCAAGAGTCTTGCACTATAGCATATCCCTTTACTGAAGCGAAGAGCTATCTGTTAGGTTCTACCCTGACATGCTTCATTTCTCCCCCAGAAGTGTGCACCCTAAATTCATTTGGGAAAATCATACAATTAGTCATAACTGGGGCTGTTGAAGATTGTGATGTAATGTAAGACTAATTGGGCCAACTCTTACTGATAATGGTTAAGGTATTACATTTAAAAAATTTTTGTTTTTATTTTTATTTTAATGTGTATGAATGTATTGCCTGCATGTAGGTAAGTGCACACATGTTGTGCAATGTCTGCGGAGGTCAGTAGAGGGCATAGGAACCTCTGGAACAGGAGTTACGGACAGTTGTTAGCGGTCATGTGGGTGCTGGGAATCGAACCTGGTCCCCTGAAAGAGCAGCCAGTGCTCTTAACCATGGAGCCATCTCTCCAGTCCCGGTATTACATTTTTTAACTATAACATTTATAATTATCTTAAAATTCTGAACTACTCAAACTCCCATTGCCAGATATTGGGATAATTTTTATAAAGCATGCATATATATACATTGTCACTTGAACATGTTATTTAAATTTTTATTACATCTATCTATCTATCTATCTATCTATCTATCTATCTATCATCTATCTATCCTAGTTTGTTTCTTCCATTGCTGTGACAAAACACTCTGACCACTACCAACTTGAAGAGAAAAAGGTTTATTTGTCTTACATCTCCCAGGTCACAGTTCATCAGGAAACCCAAGGTAGGAACTCAGGGCAGGAACCTGGAGTCAGGAGCTGGTCCTCAGGCCATGGAGGAACACCGCTTACTGGCTTGGTCCCCTGGCCCCTGCTCAGCCTGCTTTCTTATGCAACACAGGCCCACCTGCCCAGGGGTGGCACCACCCACAGTGGGCTGGGCCCTCCCACATCACATAGCAATCCAGAAGATGCCTCACAACATGGCCACAGGCCAATCCAATGAAGGCAATTCCCCAACTGAGGATCCTTCAACCTAGGTGTGTCAAATTGACACTAAAGCTATCCAGCACACTATCATCTATCTATCTATCTATCTATCTATCTATCTATCTATCTATCTATCATCTATCTATCTATCTATCATCTATGTGTGCATGTATCATAGCATGCATGTGGAGGTCAATAGTACAATTTGCAAGAGTTGCTTCTCACCTTCCACCATGTGCATCATAGGAACCAAACTCGGGTCCAGGTTGTCAGGCTTGGTAACAAGTACCTTCACCTGCTGAGCCAGCTTGCTGACCCTGAACATGTCATTTTAACACAAATATTTATCTAGTTAACATTTCAAGCATAATGACTGAGCTTGAAAGATGTCAAGGTACACTTTTGAGCATAATCTTATTTTAACCCAACACTTTACATAATGGGTATGTGTTACCTTATTTCTCCATTTCACAGCAGAAGAAACCAATACTTAGAAAATTAAATGATTTTTCTAAGATCATTTGAAGTGTTGAGCTATTGTTATTGTGAAACAAACCTGAAATTTCAATGGTCACAACTGTCAATATTTCTTTATCTCCCTCATGAGTGTGTAGTTGACTGTGGTTTTGGCAGTGTCAGCTGGATGTGGCTCCAGGCTGTCGGCCAAGTTCAGCTCTGTTCCTCAGGTAGCTTTCTTCTGTTATCGGTAGTAACTGGAGCATTTTTGTCCCCTGGTGGGTGTCAGAAGCACAAGCTCCATGGCCCAAATTACAAGGTGAATGTAAACCATGGTGTTATCTTGCCTGCTAACTTCCTTTCGCCAAACAAGTTACATGCCAAGCACAATAAAGATGGGGAAGGAAATGCACTGCCCCCATTATTCAAGAGGCTGGCACTGCAAAGTTGCCACTCAGTGCTTATGTGTGAACAGTGCTTCAGGAAAGAGCAAGGGATCAGCAAGCAAAAAAGACTGCTCCTGTGACTGGGAAAAGGAGTTCTAGGTTCCTGAGGCAAAGCATAGACTACTATTATTTCCATTTTAGCCACTGAGAACACACAGCATCAATGAGATGGCTCAGTAGGTAAATAGGCTTGGTACCAAGTCTGACAACCAGAGTTTGTTCCTTAGAACCCAACCGCTAAGAGAAAACCAATTCCCACAGGATGTCCTCTGATCTCTACACACATACTGTGGAATTCATGTATCCCTCCCAACCCCCACACCACACACAAAATAAATCAGATAAAAATTTTTAGAAAAAAAATAGAAAACGTCAGCTGTGGTCCTGAGTATACCAATCACATCTGGTCTTAGAAGCTAGGCAGTATTAGGCCTGGTTAGCATTTGGACAAAAGAATGCATGATCTAAATAATGAATGAATTATAAAGTAAACAGAAATATTAGCTTTTGCATTCACAGTATTTACCTTAATCTCTCTCTCTCTCTCCCTCCCTCCCTCCCTCCCTCCTCTCTCATACCTGGTAGCTACTTCGTTGCAGCAGTGCTAATGTTTATTTTTTAATTATAATTCATTTGGTGGTCTCCTTCCTCCAAAAAGACAATACAGATGTATATTTTGATATAAAACACTATCCTTTATTTTTGCAGTTGTACTGGTCAGTGGGGATTTACTGTGATATCTCCATATGTGAGCACTTCCTCTTTATAATTTAGGTCTTGGCTATATTGCCTTTAGAGCTAAAGTTAAGATTTATAATCTTGTATTCAATTTTATATCCATTTCAAGAAATAGTAAATAATACAACTTCAACAAACAGTTGTGAAACATCTTGAGTGAATTGAAATCAGTAACATAGGATATTAGAATGCTCATTCAGTGTCTCAGACCACAACACCTCCCTTCACGTAGTAATAGTAATAATAATACCCAGGAGAACTTACATGATGTTTAGCTTAGTATGCTCGGTATGGTCCAGAGAATGATCTGTGATAGCCGTATTTTTAGTTTGAATAAGTGAATTTTTTAAGCATATTGCAAGTCAAAGTAAAAGAATAAATAATAAGAGATAGAAATATAGACAGTGTTAGAGCCGGGTGTGGTGGTGCATGACTTTAATCCCAGCACTCGGGAGGCAGAGGCAGAAGCAGGAGGATCTCTGTGAGTTCAAGGCCAGCCTGGTCTACATAGTGAGTTCCAGGACAGCTGGGGCAGGGGTCGGGATCATCACAAAACAGAAACAGAGAGGACTCTGGCAAAACAAGAGTTTAATGGGTTGGTGGGGCTGGTCTTCCACTTGGGTGTGAGGAAGAACCAGCAGCCTAATGGCTGCAGAGGGGTAGCTTATAAAAGGAAAAAATGCAGAAAAAGAGAATATTTTTCTGCTGTTTGGGGCTGTTTTGGGGGATGCTTGCTCAGGGAGGGCATGGGGGCTATACCTGGTGAAATTTATCAAGGAAAACATCTACTGTAAAACATGTTTTCTACAATTACAGGGTTCCAGGAACCCATTGCAGCTAAGGGTTTGGGAAACCTGTTTGTCAGCCTGTGGAGCATGCTCTGGTGATCACAAAGCATTGTGTCATTAATTCCCACAGCCGCTTTTGTCAGCTTGCAGGTGACTGGGAGTTGGTTTATTCAGTTCCTCTTAGGGAGCCTTATGGTTTCTGGGTCTCAGGTTACCTGGACCTGAAACCTTACCAGACAGATAGACAGTAAGATATTTAAATATATAAATCGTAGATGATAGATAGATAGATAGATAGATAGATGATAGATAGATAGATAGATAGATAGGAGATAGATGCATAGATGGATGGATGGATAGTAGGTAGATGATAGAGAGATGATGATAGATATAGATAGATGATAGATAGATAGGTAGATAGATAGATAGATAGATAGATAGATAGGTAGATAGATAGATAGATAGATGATAGATAGATAGATAGATAGATAGATAGATAGATAGATAGATAGAAGATGATAGATAGCAAAACATTATCAAATTAGGCACTCAAAAAACCAGTGGAAACCAACTGAGGAAGTCTCATTGGGACAGAGAGAATTCTGGACAGAGTACTTTCCCCTCAGGTGAGGCTTCCAAGTAAAAAGAACAGATAGCACTACATAGATTTAACATCGAATTGGGCACTCATAACAGCCAGCAGGAACTGACTGGGGAAGTTGAGGCTAGCAGCTGGAGTTCACAATTGAACTTTCTCTCCATTAATGAACTTTCCACGGGTGAACTTCCCATAACTGAACTTATGGTTTCTCTTTCCCACTACAAGCACTTTTATATCATGGGAAAAACAATAGCAATATCTCTTGAAAATAGTTTACCTTCTATTTATTCTCAAGGTCACAGTGTTTTTGCTTCTGAGTTGTCTTACTGTTCTTTTCTCTCCCTGTCACTGACTTGGAGGACCAACCCATCCAAAGACACAGAGCCTTGGAGAACACTTTGAGACAAACATGCTTGGGTCTGAAATGGGGGTGGGGGCAACCCAACTTCCAGAGCCAGCTTGTCAGTACAATGAGCTCAAACAACACAGAACAATTTGCCAATGTAATGTACATTAAATGGTGCTAGATACACAGATAAATAGCTGCATGTATATGCATATGCATCATGTATGCATAATACATGTATCTATATGTGATATATACTACATCCCTATATATGTATATACATCTATGTCAGTATATGAGTGAATATATGCAAACACACTCTAGTTTACACTCCTGATTGCTAAGCCATGACTAGAGGATCCATGTATTCTTGGGGTAGTCATGGGGAAAGACCACACCAGTTGCCTTGTTGCTGGGCTTTGTTTGTACGGTAGCTCTGTGACAGGGGTGTGATTTTGTTTGCTCTCGCCACTGCCTTACAGGTAAGTTTACTGATACTTTTATTTTTCAAAAGAAAGACAGCTATCTTATAGGACAGTAAAAGTGGTCCAGCAGGATCTGTTCTTTTATGTACCAAAGTAAACAGCGTAAACAACAGCAACAACAAATAACAGTCCTGTGAAAAAAAGTCAGTGAGATGCATGGATATCTGTTAATTAGTAACTTAGAAAGTATTCATGAAATACACTTTTAAGAATATGTTTAAATGTCAATGACATCACATTCTTCCTTCAGGTAAAAGGAGAGATAACCAAGCATTCTCACCCTGTCAAAAATTTAACACACTGCCCTTCTGATTTCCTCCAAGCCTTGCCAGAAGAAGACAACCAGTGGATGACCCAGATAAACAGACTCCAGAAATTAATTGATAGACTAGAAAAGAAGGTAGGTGTTTCTTTTTCTTTTTCTCTCTCGTCTTTTCAAGATCTTCTGACCCAGTTTTCTCACTGCCTGGATAACTACAGCTGCCCCATGAAGAATAATGCTTAATATGCAAGTGACTCTGAATGGCAGGTTGGTAGCTATGGGGCTTGTTTCTTGATTGTTTGCATAATTGCTTGTTTGTTAAAACAAATATGAAAGCTCACAGTTATAGTTCAGATAAGTTATAGGCTGATAATTAAATGAATCAGTTCTACCTCCTGATTCTTAGGTTATGCTAATATGATGCTAATAGCAACTAGTTGAAGTCTTGATCATCTTTCAAATTAACTAGGAGAAAGGGTTATTCTGTGCTTGACTTCTCAAAATTAACTTGTTAACTGATGATTTTGGCAGTAACCTACCCAGCAAGCAAGTTAGGATATGATGAAGAGTTCTTTAGAGCTATATTACATGTTCCTAATTAACATATCTTGATGAATCAATTCAGCTAGCATCAAATAATCCTAATAGTATACTGTTATTCTCCTGTTACAACTTTGCTAGTAAAGGCAACCTTTGTCAATCAGTAAGAACATATTGTTTTCTTTGACTTCTAGGTAATTAGGAATGAACATTTATGTTTGGAAGAGTACCTGAAGTTTGAAGAACCCATATTATACTTGCTCAAATAAACTGTATTTAGAGAGAGAATAAAAGAGAGAGGAGAGAGAGAATGAGAGAAAGGATTGTTTTTAAATGAGTGGTGGTCAGAGCTGAATGCACAGTGAATGTTCAGTACATGCTGATTTGTGCCAAAAGACTAGACTACTGGAACATTTAATATTGGTAGATGCTCATCTGAAGGAATGATCACTGATAGGTAAAACTGTATGATGAATAGGGTTGATCAGAAGAAAGCACCAGGACACAGATAAAACTGCATTGGAATAGAGTTTATTAGCAAAGAAACACATGGGACAGATTCCCTTCTGGGCAGGGAAAACATCTGCCCCGGGTGGTAAGCTGGAGTCTTTTTATACAGGGAGGCAGATTCCCGCAGAAGGCAGGGAGATATATTTTTTTAAAAGTTGGGGGGCGGGAAGCAGCAGAGCGGGACTGTTAAAATCTGTCCTCTTTAGATATCAAAGGGGAAGCCTGCTGTGTTGGCCAAACAGTAGAGAAAAGTGATTCTCTTGACTTCAAAGATCAGGGTGCTTATCAACTTGGTTCCCTTTTCTCAAGAGCTTGAGAAGTCCATGAGGTCCTGTTGGTGAGGGGGTGGGGCTATCTGAACCTTAACAATCATCAGAAGCTGGGATGCTTGGAAGGATTTCACATTCAGGAAGGGTGTGAGTTAGGGTTTGAAAATTATGGCTCAATTAGGAATTTGATTATAAGTGATAGAAATCACCTTTTTCGTTTAATACAACTGAGAAATTTCTGGAAGGATACTGAAATGCTCAGGAAATCAACAGATATTCTAGAGACAGGAGTTCAGGAAGTCAGGAGATAGGATGTCTAGCTAGCAGGAGATACTTAGTTTCTCAGGTTATGTCCACTGGAATTAATGAGTTCAAACCATCTCCAGTCTGTTGATATTCTGCTTAAGGTTCCATTTCCAGGAGGGAAGGTTGGCTTGGTGTTGTTAGGGTCACTTGCTGGCCTCTTATAGAGAGGAAGTGAAGTGTGGTAATGTCTTTTACAATAAGGACATACTCTGGACAAATGACTTTTACCTTTACTTTTACTTTTTTACCTTTTACTTTTACTTTTATCCTTGTAACCCAAAAGTTAAATTTTAGCTTGTTTATAATGTAGACAAGTTCACAGAGCCTTGAGCTCTCTTGTAATCTAAATATATTGATTCTTCAGGACCCTTCCTTGTGCTCCACTAAGATAGTTTAACAAGCTTATGTATGTTTTGCATATCAAAGCGCTATAAACAAAGATTCTCTCATTGACAGCAATGAGATAATTAGCCATTTGTGTTGCAAACAATAGATGGGATTAAGTTGATAATACCTGTTTTTGACTACAGGTTATGCTATTCTAAATCAGTAGGGCTCAGAAAGGGCAACACTTTTTGAATAAGACATTTCTGCTTTAACTTCTCTGTTTACTATTTCAATAAAAGTAAAGGCCCCTTTGTGGGGATCACCGTTCTGAGAGAAATCTGAAGGAACAGGTTCTTAGTAGTTCAGGTCCTGTTCTAGGTCTTAAAATAGAGCTGAATCAGGCTGTTTTTTTTCTTTAAGCATCCTTGTAATGTGCTTTGGAGGAGAACATCATGACTGACAGTCCTAGAGCACTGTGGGGAAATGAGAGAAATAGAAAAGAAAAACTGATTGACATTAGAGTTGGAATAAATGCTGATCAGCTAAGAAACAAACGTTTTCTCTAAAGAAGTAAAATCTTAGTAAAAAGGAAAGAGGCATGAAAATGGAACTGCTTAGTTGAGTCCCTCAGCTAGGGAAGTAGTGAAGAATTAGCTTGCATGGATGAGTGGGGGCCTTATCATGAGCGGTATTAACAGACTAAGTTGGATTTGGTCTTGAAGACAAGATGCATTTAATACTTTTACACTGGTAAGTGAAAAACTAAGAAGACTTTTTGATAGAAAGTTCGGCAGCAAGATACAAATTGGGTTAAATTAAAAAGAAAAATGGATAATAACAATAAAAGACTAAGCTCAGAGCTCAAGGAGTCTTTTCAGACAGTGGCATGAAAGACAGGGTTTGTGTACCCGAACCCAGTGGTGTCAGATAACATGAAATGGGTCCATATAAGTAAGTGAAGAAAATGGAAGATTTGTAAGATTAGAAATGAAATGAGCAGGGCCACCCGCTGGGTATGGTGGGAACTTACTAGAGGATTTGGTTGGCTAATACCAGACAACTCACAGAAATGCAAGAGACAAATATTTCTGAAGTGCAAAGAGAGCAGTAGCTGGCTTCCAGATGCATCAGCCTCAAGCTATAACAGGACACTTAGGCAAAAGCACCCCTTCAGCTGTCAGTAAGAGAAAAGTCAGGCTGACAGGTTAAGATTTTAAAGTTCTTGCCACAGAGATGAAACCTCAGGTCTTGAGGATGGGCAAGGATGCTGAAAAGGAGATTCTGTAAAAGAGCCAAGTCAGAGGAAACAAACAGCCTTAGAGAACTCCAGTGTCTCTGCCAGTGCATCTTCACTTGTTAAATTTGCATTGGCCTCCTACTAATATCCAAGCATACTGCAAATCAACTTTCCTCTTTCCCTTTTCAATAACTGATGTGTAAGATGAGACTAAAAGGACTTATGGGAAAAAGAGTGCTAAGAAAATTAGGTTTCCTATGTTTAAAGGTCTGAAAATCCAGGACCCCTTTATGAAAACAATACACCATGAAAATATAAACGTACTTGTATTAAATGAGTTTGGATTCTTTTGAAGAACACAAATACCCCTTTTTAAAGTGGTTTTGGGGGCTGGAGAAATTGCTCAGCAGCTAAAAGCACTGGCTGCTCTTGCAGAGGAGTTTGAATCCCAGTACCCACAAGGTGGTGGCTAACAACTGTCTATAACTCCAGTTTCAGGGGAAATCGATGGCCTCTTCTGACCTTTGTAGGCATTGCATGACACAGGTGCACTAGCACATGCAGGCAAAATGCTCATCCACATAAAATAAAAACAAATAAATCAAGAACATATGATGTGGTTTTGAAGTTCCTAGCAAAACCGTCTCTTCTTGGTGTCTGAAATGTATATAGTTATTTTTTAGAGAACGGCTTAAACTTTGGTAATAACTTTTTTCCCCAATTTCAAATCAAAGCATTGTCACTCTCTTTCTTTCCTAGACTTTTGTCTCCCTCCCCTCCTATGAAATGGTCTTGTTGTGAGAACAGCATCTAAGAGGCTTGTTAAAAGTACAACAGGATGGCTTTCAGCCTTGGCTTCCAGCTGTGTGGTGCTCAGCATGAGCTGTCTTAATGAGTAGTGGAACAGTGTGGGTTCAGTTTTCTTCCAGGACTTATTCTGTAATGTGTCGAATCAGGTTTTTAGAGCAAAACTACCCAATTGCTCAACAGCAGATAAGTGTGTGTCATTCCACTGTGGACTCCCTTGTTTCCTACAGCTGTTAGCACTAGGTTTGAGCTCCCTGTTGAAAGGAAGTGTATTTGAGGCAGAACACAGGTTATTTTTTCTTTCTATTAAATATTTATAGTAAATCCTTCCTGGATTATAAACCAAGCCTGATTCCATTCAAGGGGTTGGGTGGATAACATTTGCAATTTCTACAAGATTTTTAAGCTCTCATTCTATCCATTTGGGGATACACTGAAGTTATAATCATGTTTTGCCTGAGTCTATAAAAAAACACCTTTAGGACTGGAGAGATAGCACAGTGGGTAAATCCTTTGCAATGCAACAGGTGAACCTGAGTTCAAATACACCAAACCCATACAAAATCTGGGTGTGGTAGAACACATCTGCAATCCCAGCACTCTTATGGGGAGATGGGAGGCAGAGACAAGAGACGCCTTGGAAGCTCATGGGCCATCTAGCCTTGTGTATGTAGATGCAAAAAACAAATAGACTGTCTCAAACAAGATAGAAGGTGAGGACTGACACTTGAGGTTGTCCTCTGACCTCCACACATACATTGTGACGTGCATAGATCACACACACACACACACACACACACACACACACACACACACACACGCACGCACGCACAAATGCACGTGCATGTGCTATAGTTGTA